TTTTTTTTTACCGACAGTGCCCTGTCACTGACCCCCGACCCTTTCCCTATCCCCCACCCTCCTACCAATGTCCGATCATTTTTATAAATTTATTCAAAAAACTTTGAATGGGTAGATTTCCGATGTCAGAACTAACGCTAAGCGGTGCTTGTTGCGCAGGTTCTGACCTCTAACGCCCGATCGGGAAATTTCGGGTACAAGGCAGAATTTAGAGTCGAATATTTAACGTGTACATCATAGCCGGACACGGCCCGCCCCACTAACCGGCTTCATCTGGCCTGTAACGCGACCACTGTCACTGTGAATCGCGCATAATAAAGTACCTAAGTATCTGGTTATGGACACACAAAGCAACTTAATGGCTTCAGGGGCGTAGTCAAGGGGGAGCCGTAGGGGCCATGCCCCCTTGAAGCCCAATAGGGCCCCCATCGCGCCAGGCCAGGGGCCCCTATTCCATAGGGCCCCTGGCTGACACAGTGGGCCCTTGGCGATGCAAAGGCCCCTGCGACAGATCATTTGATGCAGCTGCGTAGCCATAATTTGGAGCCCCAATTTTAGAGCCTTGGGCCCTTTTGAAACCAGGGGGTCCAGGTGGATGGGATGGGTCCAACGGTGTGTGCACAAAATCAAGGTGTAAATAATATGCATATTTTAATGTAGAACATCTGAAGGGCCCTCTGTTAGTCTAAAGGAACCGCTATTTGCATGAGGGGCCCTTTTTGGACCGAGAGGGCCTTCTGTCGGTCTGAGGGGCTTCCGATCGGCCTGAGGGGCCCGTTGTTCGTCCGAAGTGGCCTCTAATCAACTGGAGGGGCTTTTTCCCCACCTGAGGAGCTCCTCTTTCGACATGAGGGGCCTCTGTCAGTCTCAGGGGCCCTCTCCCGACCTGGGAGAGGCCCTCCGCTGTTCTGAGGGCCCCTGTTGGCCTATGGGTCCCTCGATCGGCCTGAGAGAGCCCTCTGTTCACCTGACGGGCCCTCTGTTGATCTGTTTGTCTCCGACTGTTGGTCTGACCCTATGTCGGTTTGAGGGATCGCAGATCGGATCCACTGTCAATCTGAGGTGCCCCTATCGGTTTGAGGAGGACCTCAAATGACCTGAACGGGCCGTTACTTTGGCTGAGAGGGCCCTCCATCGGTCTGACAGGGCCCTCTGCACGTGCAAGGGGGCCTTTTATAGGTCTGAGTGGCCCTTAGACGGCTTACATGACCCTCAGACGGCTTACGAGGCTCTCATGGGCTGTGGAGGCCTTTGGCGGTCTGAAGGACCCTCATCCGACCTACGGGGCCCTCAGACCGCCCTCAGAACCGGCTGAGCGACTCTTTGAAGCTATTCGTGGGCCTTGCTTCATGCTTGCCCCAAAAACACCCCTCAGTTTTAACATTCTTTTCCTTTCTTTTCTAATAAATATTTCATATATTTATTTGCCCCCCCCCCCTCCAAAAATAGTGGATGAAATCCGATGACTTTTTCAATTTTGAGGGGGTTACCTTGAGCCCCTGTCAGTTTGGCCCCCTCCTTTAGGGAAATCCTGGCTACGCCCCTGAATGGCTTTGTGTAATTGGAGACACTGAGGCTGATTAAGAAGACAGTCTTAGACGGACAGACCAATGGCTTAAGAAATAAAACAGCCCAAAAACAAATTTCATGTCAAAAGCAGAAAGTTTCATAGAACTCTTTTGGTACAAAGTATGTGAATCTAGGGAGAAATATCACCAATTTCAGATCTTTGACATGCTCTACTCAACGCGATGAATTTGTTTCTGAAAACGAAGGTGAGAAAGAATGTACAAGATTAGTACTTGGTCAGGTGCACACACAGCTACCTACTTACTTTCTTCCACTAGCTTACATGTGCATTTGCCTTAAATGATAATTACCCAGTTATTTTTGGTACTGGAAAATAGCATTTAAAGACAATGAGGCTAATTCAATAGACGGAATGAGAAAATTGACAAAGTTGTAGAAAAGAAAGACCAAAAACACCTAAGCCCAAAGCGGAGCGTTTCATTAGGCATTTTTGGTATTAAGTGAACCTCAAGGGTTACCTTGAGTCCCAGGGCACTAACATGTTCTAATCAACCTGCTGAATGCGTTTCCAAAGACATAATGGAATAAGAATGAGAGAGATTCAATTGCGCATCAAGAATAGTAGGTACCTGGTCAGGTGCACACAAACAGCAAAGTCACTTAACATCATGACATGCATGTGCATTTCCCTTAAATACAAATAGCCCAGTTTTTTATACTGGCAAATAACATTGGAGACAGTGAGGCTGATTCAGATAACAGACTTTGGAAATGGCCAGTGGTTTAGAAAGAAAAGTCCAAAACACCTTTCATGTCAATTGCAGAAAGTTCCGTAAATCACTTTTGGTATTATGTGAATGTTTGAAGATACCTAACCCAAGTTTATTAGAAGGATGAAGAATAACTTGTTAAACAATATCACAAGTTTCATGGATTTGACATGTTTTACTCAATGCACTGAATTTGTCTCTAAAAAAGGATTGAGAAAGAGTGAGGGTGTCGATCGTGCAACAAGAATAGTAAAGGTGCAAATTGTACTTAGTAAGGTGCAAACAAAGCTACTTACTGCCACAGGCTTACATGTGCAGTTCTCTTAAAATAATAGCAATCCATTTATTTTTGGATACTGAAAAATAGCATTTAAGACACTGAGTCTAAGTCAATCAACAAAATTGGAAAATAGGCAAAGCTGTAGAAAAGAAAGCCCAATAACACCTGAGTAGGTACAAAGCGGAACGTTTCGTTAGGCACTTTTGGTAATGGGTGAATCTCAGGGGCTATCTTAAGTTCCAGGACTCCAACATGTGTCAACCAATGTGCTGAATGCATTTCTTAAGACATAATTGGGAAAGAATGAGAGGGCGTCAATCGCGCATCAAGAATAGTACTAGATTAGGTGCACACAAACTATAGAACTATTTAATACGACTTGTATGTGCATTTCCCCTTATACCTGCATTTCCCCTTAAGTACCTATAGCCCAGTTATTTTTGGTACTGGCAACTAGCATTGGAGACACTGATACTGAGTCAGAAGCCAGAATTGAGAAGCACCAGGTTTAAAAAAGAGAACAGCTGAAAAAACACCATATGTCAAAAGCGGAGTTTCGTAAAACATTTTTGGGATTGTTATTCTAGGGAGGTATCACATGTTTCAGAGCTTTGACATGCTCTACTCAACGCACTGAGTTCATTTCTAAAAACAGAATTGAGAAAGAATGAAAGAGGGTCAATAGCGCAACAAGAATAGTACCTAGGTACTTGGTCAGGTGCTTACCTACAAACTAATAGCTGCCACTAGCTTACATGGACTTTTCCCTGAAAATAATAATAACTACATGTTATTTTAGAAGCTGGAAAATAGCATTTAGGACACTGACACTTATTCAATGACAGAATTGGAAAATTTGCAAAGTTGTAGAAACAAAAACCAAAAACACAAGTCCAAAGCCGAATGTTTCGTAGAACACTTTTGGTATTGGGTGAATCTCAGATGTTAGCTGAAGTTTCAGAGCTCTAACATGTTCTTTTCATCTTGCTTAATACGTTTTTGAAGGCATCTAATGTTCTGAAATTATTATGAAATTAATCCTGAAATTATTGGTAGGGCTCGGGACCTACCAAGCCTATGGAAAACAACACCCATGCACTGAAGCTGATTTAAACTTGAACTGGATAATTACCAATATTTAAGAACAGACAGACACTCACCTTTAAAAAGGCTAAATCTCCAAAGAACACTTAGGATTGGGAAATCCCTGGAAGTTCTTATTTGGTAGGTAGGTACACTTTCGATACTTATTTAAGAGAATAAACTCTCAGCGCCTCAGACCGCCTTGAACCATCTGTCTGAATGAGCATGGAATAATTCTGAAAAGGCTTTGCTATCCTTATTCACGAATGGGAAAATAGGCATGATGCACTTACAAATCGGACGACAGTAGTTGTTCACGAAGCTGACGAAAATCCACGCGAAAACCACCGGAAAAGTTAAATCTAAAAACGTACAAACTTCTTATGAAAAGGCGGTTGGAGGCACGCGAAAGTTGGGCCAATGAGCGTCGAAGCCAAAGGCGTTTTGAGTAAACTGACCAATCAACATAATGTACCTATTACGTCATAGTATGAGGCAACCAATCTACGCGCAAGGGCCGCATGC